TTACAAAAAAGGTAACTACATTTTAGATTTTAATATAATTGCTGAAAATAACGATCATCACAACATCGTGAATAGAGCACTTTAGCATCATTTTACCTAAAACATAATTAAAGTTTTAAATACTGCTGAAATTTCAATAATATTTAAAATAATTAAAAGTTCAAATATATTTTAAATATCGATTTGAAATTTGTAATACATTTTAAATGTAATTGCTGAAAATAACAATCATCGCAGCTTAGTGAATTATGCATTTAATCACCAGTTTGCTTTTTTTTAAATAAAAAATTTTCCCGCTTAAAATATAATTTTAAATTCTACCTAAATTGCTAAAATTTTAAATGTATTTTACAATACCTTAAAAAAAAAAAAAGTTAGAATTGATTGTAAAATATCAATATGAAATTTAAATACATTTTAAATTTTAATTTCTCTGTTGAAAACAATTGCCGCAGCTTAGAGAAAAGAGTTGCTCTTCTTTATATAAACATTTTCCCCTAAAATATATTTTAAATATTTCCTTGCTAAAATGTTAAATACGTAGGTGTTAAGTTCATTAAAAATATTTTAAAAATATATATTAAGATAAATGGTAACAAGATAAAATATTTTAAAATATATTAAGATAAATATTAAATTTCTTTGCTGAAAAGGACGATCATCAAAGCTTTGTGAATACGGCCTTTTAATGTAGTTTGTTTTGCTTTTCTTTGACCTTTTTTTTAAATGAATTGCAATGAATGTTCTTATGGAATGCAACACAGGCATCATAAATAGGAAATTCCTCTTTTGCAACATCATTTTATCTAAAACAAAATTTTAGTTCTAAATACTGCTGAAATTTCAATAATATTTAAAATGATTAAAAGTTAAAATATATTTTAAATATTGATTTGAAATTTGTAATACAGTTTAAATGTAATTGCTGAAAAGAACAATCATTGCAGCTTAGTGAATTAAGCATTTAATCACCAGTTTGCTTTTTTTTCCCGCTTAAAGTATATTTTAAATTCTAACTAAATTGCTGAAATTTTAAATATATTTTCCAATAACTTAAAAAAAAAGTTAGAATTTATTGTAAAATATCAATATGAAATTTAAATACATTTTAAATTTTACTGTTGAAAACAATTGTCGCAGCTTAGAGAATAGAGCCTTTTACCGAGTTGCTCTTCTTTACATAAACAATTCCCCTAAAACATATTTTCAATATTTATGTTGTTGCTAAAATGTTAAATACGTAGGTGTTAAGTTCATTAAAAATATTTAAAAATATATATTAAGATAAATAATTAATTATCTTACATTTCTTTACTGAAAAGGATGAACATCACAGCTTTGTGAATACCGCCTTTTAATGTCATTTTATTTGCTTTTCTTGACTATTTTTTTTTAACTAAATTGCAATGAATGTTCTTATGGAATGCAACACAGGCATCAGAAATAGGAAATTCCTCTTTTGCAACATCCTGAATGATGTTTCAATTATAAATTTAATATTTTTTTAATTTTTATTTTTAATATTTATATTTTTATTTCTAATTTTTTTTTATTATTTTTTGATGTTTAGTTAATCCTTGAACAGCAGCATTTAATTTTTCACTTATTTCCTTTGCGCAAGTTTAAAAAATATATTAAATGATCACACAAAATATCAAACTTGCGCAAAGGAAATGAGTGAAAAATGAAATGCTGCTGTTCAAGGATTGACTAAACATCCAAAAAGAATAATAAAAATTAAAAATATAAATATTAAAAATAAAAATTAAAAAAATATGACCACACACAAAATATCAAACTTGTGCAAAGGAAATGAGTGAAACATTAAGTGAAAAAATAAATGCTGCTGTTCAAGGATTGACTAAACGTCAAAAAATAATAAATAATAATAAAAAATATAAAAAATTTTTAAAAAATTAAACGATTACACAAAATATCAATTTTTTCTTTTTAATATTTTTATTTTTAATTCCTAGTATTATTATTTGACGTTTAGTCAATCCTTGAACAGCAGCATTTAATTTTTCACTCATTTCCTTGGCGCATATTTGATATGTATTTTGTGGGATCATTTAACATGTCATTTTGTACTTTGGTTCTCACTGATTTGGCGATTGTGTCCCATTAATAAAATGTCCTTTTTTTGCACCCCTCCCCTGCGGTACTGACCATCCCCCACATACACAGCAGTCAAACTAACAGCCAGAGCAGCCCGCAGTCCCAATGGCGCCCCCTGGCTGCTGTGTGGCTGTATTACACAGGATGAAGCAGGTTAGAAGATGGCAGACTACCTTGTAGATTAGCTTTGGTCAAAGCATCTTTGTTAGCCGAGGAACAAAAACAAAGCAGATGTTAGTACAGCAGTGATTTCACGAGGTACCCCTAAACCTCATGCCCCACACACCTCTCAACAACCACCAGCAGATGGCAGAGCAGCCAGCGAGTCCTGCGCACAAGCAAAGCTCACAGTGCAACAAGCGAGCTGCCCTTTAAGAGGAGGAATGTCAGCGCCCCAGAACCGTCACCTGGTCACCTGGATCATAGGAGCCCCCGGGGAGTACAGAAACACACAAATACATTTTATACTTCGCATTGCTACATCTGCTTCCTGTGGACACAGAGCTGGAACATTGAACAACCACAGAAGAACATTCCACCCCTTCCAGGGTGTCACGGTGCAGAAAGATTACCTGGAGGACCTCACCGCCGGTTACCTGAACCCTTTATAGTCATTCAGCCTGCAGTCATTTCAGGGCTGCAAACACTTTCATTCATGGCTCAGTGGGCAAAGTAACTACATACCCAATGCTGATGTGTTGGAAATATTCAGAACCTTTTCCATTGTGAACTTAAAAATCAGCTGAAAGTTGAACTCCAGCCCAAACCTCTTTCCCAGATTTAGACGGGAGTGCAAAGTGGTTGGAACATTTCGCAGAAGTCAGTTTTTCTCTGTGTCCCCATGAGGAAGATTTTCCCCATTTTCTCTCCTGATGACCACCACAAAAAAGCTGTATCATCCTAGCAGAAATAGAGAGGAAGTCTTCCAATGTGGACACATGATCATAGGTAAGATTTCCTCACTTCTGGTTGTGTTTCTGCGACAAGAAGAGAGTGTAGAAAAATCTCCTCATTGGGACAGCTGTAAAAACCTGACAAAGGTTGTAACCCCTCACCATTCCCTCGAAAAAAAAAAGGAAAAACAATCATCTCAATTTCCACATTAATAAAATGAAGCAGACACAGAGAAAAAAGGAATAGGCTGAGGGTCAGTGGTGGATACCAAAAACATTTTCAGGGACATTTGGTAAAAAGTTGGGCATGAGCCCGTGGGCCAAACCATGAGATTCTAGCGATGTCCACCCCTTCCTCCTGCCTGCACTCTGAGCTGTGTATATGTTCCAGGCCCAAGGGCGGACTGACAATTCATAGGGCCCCCGGGCAATAGGGGATCATGGGGCCTCCATGTCCTTGCCCAAACTCAAAGCACACCCAAAAAAGTCTATAAAAAAGGTACCAGGGGCATTTTATGGGGCCCCCTACTGACCCCGGGCCCTCGTGCTTGAATGGTCAGTCCGCCCCTGTCCAGGCCATCTACATTATAATAATCTGGCCTTCTATCCACTGCATGGTCACCTGGGTAGGGAAAATTTTATGTGGAGGCCCAAAAGAGCGCAGCAAGGGTAAAGCATGAGAACCCAACAATGCAAAATTCCAAAAAGGGGAGTACAGGGAACGATTGATTGGATACAAAATAACCAGCCAATGATTTCTTGGACTACCTGGATGACTTTTGGAAGCCCTCAATAAATCCTCGGAGGACTTCAGATAGGCTGGAAGAACCAGTAAGAGGAACCCAAACACAGTGGAAAAGCAGATTGATGAGAATGAGACACTTTGGGATACAGTGAGATGTCGGTGAGTGAGGACTTCTGATCCATCGCTGGTTCACCACTGCAGTATTCAGCACCATCCAATACCCCTGATTCATTTTAGGTGGGTACCAATGATATGAACCCCTCAGGAGCATCTTAAATCTCTCAATGACTCCAGTGTTCAGATTTTCCTGTACTAGTTTCGGTCTCTGCTCTTCCTAAAGATAGTAAGCCTTCCCCACAGTAGCTTGTGTCTCTGCTCTTTCCACATTCATGGGATTTCCCCAAAGAAATTTGTGTCTCTGACCCTCCCACAATTGTGAGATTTCCCTGTAGTAGTTTGTGCCTTCTCCCCTCCCACAATGATGGGATTACCCGCAGTAGTTTGTGTCTCTGCCCCTCCCACGACTGAGATTTCCATGCTATAGCTTGTGTCTCTGCTCCTCCCACAATGGTGCGATTTCCCCACAATAGTTTGTGCCTCTGCCCCTCCCATGTTAGATTTTTACCTGTAGTTGTCTGTGTATCTGCCCCTCCTATGACTGAGATTTCCATGCAATAGCTTGTGTCTCTGCCCCTCCCACAATTGTGAGATGTCCCTGCAATAGTTTGTGCCTCTGCTCCTCCCACAATGGTGAGATTTCCATGCAATAGTTTGTGTCTCTGCCCCTCCCACAATGGTGAGATTTCCTGCCATACTGTAGATTGTGTCTCTGCTCCTCCCACACTGAAGAGATTTCCATGCAGTAGTTTGTGTCTCTGCCTCTCCCAAGACTGAGATTTCCATGCAAAAGCTTGTGTCTCTGCCCCTCCCACAATGGTGAGATTTCCATGCAATAGTTTGTGTCTCTGCCCCTCCCACAATGGTGAGATTTCCATGCAATAGTTTGTGTCTCTGCCCCTCCCACAATAGTGAGATTTCCTGAAGTACTGTAGTTTGTGTCTCTGCTCCTCCCACAACAGTGAGATTTCCATGCAATAGTTTGTGTCTCTGCCCCTCCCACAATAGTGAGATTTCCTGCAGTACTGTAGTTTGTGTCTCTGCCCCTCCCACAACAGTGAGATTTCCATGCAGTAGTTTGTGTCTCTGCCTCTCCCAAGACTGAGATTTCCATGCAAAAGCTTGTGTCTCTGCCCCTCCCACAATGGTGAGATTTCCATGCAATAGTTTGTGTCTCTGCCCCTCCCACAATAGTGAGATTTCCTGCAGTACTGTAGTTTGTGTCTCTGCTCCTCCCACAACAGTGAGATTTCCATGCAATAGTTTGTGTCTCTGCCCCTCCCACAATAGTGAGATTTCCTGCAGTACTGTAGTTTGTGTCTCTGCCCCTCCCACAACAGTGAGATTTCCATGCAATAGTTTGTGTCTCTGCCCCTCCCACAATAGTGAGATTTCCTGCAGTACTGTAGTTTGTGTCTCTGCCCCTCCCACAACAGTGAGATTTCCATGCAGTAGTTTGTGTCTCTGCCTCTCCCAAGACTGAGATTTCCATGCAAAAGCTTGTGTCTCTGCCCCTCCCACAATGGTGAGATTTCCATGCAATAGTTTGTGTCTCTGCCCCTCCCACAATAGTGAGATTTCCTGCAGTACTGTAGTTTGTGTCTCTGCCCCTCCCACAACAGTGAGATTTCCATGCAATAGTTTGTGTCTCTGCCCCTCCCACAATAGTGAGATTTCCTGCAGTACTGTAGTTTGTGTCTCTGCCCCTCCCACAACAGTGAGATTTCCATGCAGTAGTTTGTGTCTCTGCCCCTCCCACAATAGTGAGATTCCCTGCATAGCTGGACTCACTAATTTCTGTTGACTCAACAATATGAAGAATCCATGTGGGAGGTGACACCACCAATTGGCCATGTAATGGTTTCAGCAGTTGGGTAGAAATGGAATTTCCGGTTAGGGTGTCTCGTCATTGGGAGTGATCATGAGATATAAAGAAGCTGACATGGGATTCTGCTTCTCCAACAAAGCGTCAGTCTTGGGTGGTGTCAGACTTATAATAAACTATGACAATGTAACAACAAAAGGCAAAATCAAGAAAATTATTGTAAAAGTGCACAGATGACAAATTCTATTTTAGTATGAAAAAAAAAAAAACACAAATATGAAGGAGCCAGCGGGGCAGAAAACCCATTCAACAGATCAGCATTTATTGCATTGGCAGTGATGGCGGTACAGGGCAGCCAGGTACAAGTCACATGACTGTCAAGGAAACATTAATACTGTGCAAATTATCCGACTGAAAATACTTCACAGTATTTGCCGCAAAGTCTTCACATTCTTATCAGGCTCACTTTGGGCACCGTCAAGGAAATTGGCATTGCGTGTAAATGGTATATAAAATGTGGACATGGGCACACCTCTCATATCTGATTTGGCCTCTTCTACAGGCGATGTATGCCAAACAACCCAAAATTTTCACAGTAAAAGAAAATGAAAATGGCTCTCGTCCATTTCTAATTCAAGAATTTTCAGGATTTTATTTCCAAAGCCGGCTGGCAATTTTAGCATTTAAGAACAATATACAAAAATAAATATACTCCGTGAATTCTGTCCTATATGAGGATGTTGGTCAGGAAATCAGGAAGGTCAGTGGCTGTCAGGGTGCCTCCGATTGGTCAAGACTTAGAGGGTAGTGGAGCAGTTCACCGTGATGGAGGAAAATAAGGGTGAAAAGTGCCGTGGTGAGGATCAGAGTGAAGAAATATGATGGGGTGGACGTGCAGGACAGGGGTGCGGATGGGAATGTGATGGAGGCGTCAAGGGACGAAGTGAGGGGTTCCAAAAAACTAGCGTTGCTCTCGATGTAGACGAAAGGGTAATGTGGCTTCGTACCTTCACATCCGCGTTCGATCTGCCCACTGCGGTGCGGTGCATCATTGATCAAGTCTGGGAGGCGTCCGTTGAGGTCCACAGAGGCCAAGCAGCCTTGGAAGCCTTCCCGAGAGGCCACCAGTTTCGGCAAGTTGCTGTACATGACCTGCGGCAAACCAGCAATGTACAAGTCACCTGCAGGAACAAAAACATTAAAGGAAAGCTTTTGTCAGGCAAAACTCATCTGGGAAACAGTTACAACATTAAAGATTAAAGATCATTTCTCAGCAGCTCAACAGATTTTCAGAAGGGGAAGATGTAGGCACCTAATATACCAGTTCTACCATTTTCTGTCAATGCAACACCTAAGATTGCCTCTGAGGAAGAGTAGTCCCCCCCCCCCCTCAAAACGCGTTGGAAATTTGGAGGGTCCTCTTGCATTTTGGGATTTGTCTTGGTGACCAGGTCGTTTTGAGTGCATTGTGGACTGATATGCCTTTATCAGTTGTTTGTGAGTATATACATCAATTTTATGAAATTAATCAAGCTATCACATAATGCACAAGGCTGGTGCGCCCTCTTTTCCTTGTTTTACAGTACAAAATATTAGCTGTAGTTGAGCTTCAATTCTTTAGCACCTTGCTTGCCATTTCAGATGACTGTATGTAAATTAGGAGGTACTTCATAGCTAGATTGATAATATTAGAGCAAGAGCTGTGATATTATCCATAATCCTATATTACTTGTACTACAAACTCCAGGTGTCTCTTTACCTTTCAGATCAAGGTTCTTGGCTCCATTTATGACCTGTGTGACGGACTTGGCATCCACCTTCAGTGTGTGCGTGTTGCTGTTGTCTCGGGTAATGACCACATGATGCCATTGATTGTCATTCAGTGGCCTGTCGCTGTTCCCCTTGATGACGTTAGGGCCATTTCCAAGATCAAACACATAGTGGATGTACCTGCAGAGAGATGATATATATGGATGTTCTGCTGTACCCCAACCTTAAAGAGTTCTCATCTTTACCAGAAGCCCAGCCTTACAGAATTCCTATCTCTACCAAAACCTCAACCCTACAGTGATCCCACCCTTGCCCGACTCCAACCTTGTAGAGTTCCTACTTATGCTGGACCCCTAGTCCTTCAGTGTTCCCACCTCTACCAGACACCTAACCCTACAGAGTTCCCACCCCTGCCACAGCCCAACCCTGTAGAGTTCCTACTTATGCTGGACCCCTAATCCTTCAGTGTTCCCACCTCTACCAGACACCTAACCCACCTCTGTGAGCCCCTAATCCAAAAGAGTTCCTGTCTCTGTCAGATTTCCAGTCCTACAGAGATCCCATCTCTGTGAGCTCCTAATCCAAAAGAGTTCCTGTCTTTTCCAGATTTCCAGTCCTACAGAGATCCCATCTCTGCTGAACATCCAACCCTACAGAGTTTCTACCCCTGCCAGACATCGAACCCTACAGGGTTCCCACCTCTGCTAGACCCCTAGCCATACAGAGTTCTCACTTCTGCCAGACCACCAGCCCTACACCTCATCAGAAAGCTGTCTCCATCCAATTACCATAATGCTGGTGAAAGAACAACCAAATGCATGGTCTACATTTCCAATTAAGACCAAAAAATTGTCTGTTGTAACAATAAAATCTTATTATAAAGGACCTGCCAACCAGATCAGTTTGTGTTTGCTTCACCTGGTATCTGACCAAATTCACCTGCCATGCTCCCATGAAGTTATAAAATAGAAATCTGGAGGTTTGTGATATCAACATCGAGTAAAGTGTCTTCTGAGATTATGAACAAAGGTTCAAAATGTTTGGAAGACAAATGGCGGAACTTACACAAAGTAAGAGGGAGTAATACAAGTCAACCCTTGTGCCGCTTTTACACTAATCCTCGGAATCCTTTTTTCTAAAGTTCCAAATCCGGAAAGCTATAAATCTAGCAAATGTAATCAAAATATGGGAAGACAACTAAATATGAAGGATTATGATAATCAGGTCAGGAAACTTAAATTTGATATTTAAACTAACTTTTATAAAAATATAAAAAATTGTGAAAGAAAATAAATACGGAGAAAATAATTAGGCAAACCATAATGAAACTTTATAAATTGGCTCCTTGCAGATAATACTGTTTAGCAGCAATGTTTATGGTCAGCGTTTTTTCACTGTGACTGCACTGGCTCTTGAAGTCCTGCTGGCAGATAGTTATTTCTGGAGTGCTCAACTGTTAGTACCTTTGACGTATAGTCAGGATTATTGTAAGAGCGTGCACATTCCGCTGCCTCTGTGTTGGGTTACTGGAGGGGATCTATATATTGTGCACCTCATCTACCTGCAAACTTATGGGGTGACACTGAAAGACTCAGAAGGGACTCTCAGAAGGGACTGTCAGTCCTCAATGTCTTCTGAGCCGTCTCCTCTCGAAGTGTACAGTTACTTCCACCTGACCATCATATCTCCACACAGATACAGAAATCCATATGTACAATCATATACATGCACAACCAAAATGGGAAAGCAATACCATTTTGAAATATGTATTTTACTTTCTTGAAAAATTTTGTTATTGAAAGTGAAAGTTACAATTTTAACCTTTTAACGAATTTATCCTTAAAGTGTATCTATAAACTAAACACTTTTTATTATTAGCTTTTGACAGAATAGGGAATACTTAAAAAACCTTTCTTTGGTCATGTCCACTTTGGGAGAGTTTCCTTCTTGTCTCAAAGACACCACAGGAAGTAAGAGAAATCACTTAGAAGGTAACAGATGTCCCTGTTTGAAGATTTTCCCTTCATTCCTGTTCAACATTTTGAATTTTCCACCACTTTCTGCTCCAATGACCAGGACAAATTGAGGGATAAATCTTCCCAAATGGGACAAAGACACCTTACAGGAGTCTAAACTTTAATCACTCTATTCTAAGGCTAGAGAAAACATTCTGGCAAGCGATACATTTTGATTCTGCAATATTTAACCCTTAATTCCAGTCTACAATTGTCTCCTGCTGTCTCCCCAAAATGCCCCCTTATATATTTATGAGTCTCCTTGACCTCTTTTCAACCTCACATTAGACACCCCCCATCCTGATATCCCACAACAGTCCACATTGCAGTATCTTCTACCCCACAAGTGCACCAATGACTTCCTGAAGCCTAAAATCACCCCAATGACCTTTTCTCATGATGCACCCATTAGTTCTCCTTGTACCCCATGGCCACCCACAAGACCTCTGCTCCTACCCCTTCACCAGCTCCACCGCGATGAAATCATTGCCGTCCCCGCTGTTGAACAAGATAAAGCCGTCGGACGAGATGGTCTTGAATTGGAAGAAGAGGTGCATGGAGGTGTAGGCCTGAAGGGTGGAAAGGGTCAAGTAGCTGGCCTTGGTCCTAAAGGTGACAGGGTCAGCAATGATGGGACGCAGGCCAAACCGTGCTTTCAGTTCACAATAGTCGATATCACCGTTCTTGCACAGGTCGATGTACAGCAAACCGTTGAACATTAGGCTTTGGAGATGCCCAATAAACTTAGAGGGCACGGCCGAGGCAAATCTCTTTTCCGTCATGGAGCCAGTCTCAATGTTGTGGAATTCCAAGCGGGTGTGGTCACCCGCCATAGTACCTGTGTAACGAGACCAAAACCAACAGTGTCAGATGATATATTGATATATACTGGGCCTGCAGATACCGAAGAAAGCTCTCTAGTGGCTACAACAGGGTTTTCTTTCATTTTATGCAATAAATGTCATTACAAATACATCAGATTTCATTGTCAACGCAAAATTTGTTCTAAACTGTAATACAGGCCTGCCCTCTGCTGGTAGAAATTAAGAATGCATTCCAGCAAAACGCAGCACATTGTAACATTTTTTTATTGGTTTCCTTATTGAAACTGTTCTAGATCCCAAA